GTGCCGTTCTTCACAGTAACAGAAAGCGCGGCTGCGCACCATGGGACAGTTAATGGTTTCGCGTAAAAAAGAAACCATCAACCAGAGCTCTGAAGCAGACAGCACCGCGCTTAGTTCGAGCGTCTTCTAGTGTTGCCATATGCCTCCGTCTGCTTTTTAAGAGGTAATTTGATTCGCTGCGTTTTTCAACAGGAATGCAATTGGTTTACTCGTTGGTGTTCATTTTAGTCTCCTTTCCCCAGCTAAGCTTTGGGCACTATCTCGAGAACGTATTAGAACTTATTTATTTTACTTCTTTTTACGTCTTATTTGCGTTTGCTCATTTTATTGAATATTTAATTTATTCGTCTACGTTTTGGACGTAGACTGCGTCCGTCTGCTTTGCTAGAATAGCTTGCCCTGTTCGTGAGTTTTATAATCGGCTGACTTTGATAGGCACGCAGCTCTGCAATTTGGAGGAGCGACCGTGGAGTCCTGTTTACGTTGTGCGTCACCACGCTCAATGAAACTGATAAAAATGTGTGAAATAAAAACCAAGAACAAAAAGTTTTAAGATTAACTTTAGTATTTTGATCATTTTCTTAAATGGGAACCACCAAGCGCTATACTCGACGTACTCCCCGCCGCCCGCATGCTTAAAAAAAGCAAAAAAAAAAAAAAAAAAAAAAACGCACCAGGGCTTTAGAGAGATGTGAAAGAATAGTCATTGTATATTGGTTCCTGCTCTGTACAATTTGTTTTTTTTTTATTATTATTATTTTTGTAAATATACCAAACTGTTGAGTAGAACGCGTGCATGTGCTTTAAAATAAATATTATTGTTCTTCAAAGTTCCTTTCTTTTCGGCTTTCAGACACAAAGGTTGTTAGCTTTTTTTATTTATATTTTCAAAATATCAGCCCTCACCAAGATACTTCTTCACCTGAAAACGAAAACTGACAGCATAAGTTATTCGCATGCTATTGCAGATGTAAATCACTCCAAAATTAGTCAAATTCATGCTATGATAAACAGAAGGAAAATATTTAGGCTTCAGATAGTCATCAATTTACTTTTAGAGGGGTACATTCTACAATAGAGAGAATAATAGAAAATGCCTGGGAGCTCGGTTATGTTTTCAATTAAAGGGGCCCTGCAAGGACTTTTTGACTGGTTTTAATTTTGCACCTAACCTGAGCTCACTGAACGTAATCACTTAGAAAAACTTTTCTTGAGTTTCGCTTTATTTTAAAAGTTATAGGAAAGTTAAAATTACAAAAACAAGCAAAATATAACCTCCTCATGACGTCCTTGGTTGCTTGAGTGGCCGTGAACTAGAGGAGGGGTAGTGAGCTCAGTAAGCGCTCACGGCTGCCGCGCTCTGTGTTGACGGCTCGAGAGGGCGTCACTAAAGCATGTGCTGGATAGGCTGGATGAAGCGGGCTGCCAGGGTGGCTCGCATTATATTTGCTGCGCAACCAAACAATAATCGGCATGACACTTCATTGGCCACAAACGACAGCAAGCACGGGGTAAAGATCAGTTCAGACCGGGAGCCACTTCGCGCTGCATATCGCCAAACGGCCAAAGCGCAAGCCAAACCTGCTCGTCAAAGACATTTCGGTACTCTCGAAACCGGTCGGATCCTCGAGCCCATACGACCGCAGCGCCGTCACGTACATCCGGTTGCTGTCTATGCTCGTCGCTTCACAGGAATGCGTTGCGCGCGTAGGCGCGTGATCCCACTGCCCCTTTCTAGTTTGCGCCACCTTTTCCACCACTTGGTGGCGGGTACATCGACGGGTCATTTCTTGTTTCCGCACTTTATAAACTGCATTTGTTTCTTTTTGATTGTTAATACTAAAAGAAATATACTTTCATTTAAAATGGAGATGGTTCGCGCCCCTTATATTTTGAATATCGACTAAAGAAAAAGCTTTTAGCGGCTCTGGCCAGTCGAAAGGAAGGAGCTCGCCAGGACCAACAACGTCACAATGTCGTCACATGCCACGCGCGTTTGCCCCTTAGGTGGAGGAGGTTTCCGCGTTGTGCGGTTAAAATATGACGCACTGATATTTAGTTACTCTCTCCGTGCCCCGCTGGGTTGCCCGAACCACAAGAAATGTAAAAACCGCAGAAAAAAAAGGTAGAAGCTTAAATAGGATTGCAGGGTATCTATAAGATTACAAATGATTAATCTAATAATCAACAAGATATTAAAAACTAAAATCAATGTAGCAAAGTATTATTTTGTAGCATACTGATGTGATGAAGCCATGGAGAGAGCGACCCAGCTAGCTTTCTGTCTACCCCCTGATGATTCTCCAGAGCTCGGCATTCTACGCACAGGCTCTCGTCTCCTCCCCTCCCTTAGTTTTTACCCGTACTGCACCCGTGCGTCGAAAGTGGTCCCGAAGTGGCAACCAATGACGTCAGAGGAGCCGTCGTTTCAAGCTGTCGAATGCAGCAATCCTGGCGCTTGGGAGTAAAATATTTTCCCGAAAGGTACGAGTGAAATCGAGTGCCGCCGACGTCGCGTCATGTCCCAACTTCTAGCTGCCGAAGCTTCCGTAGACTATTCAGCTGGGAAGCGACCTGCAGCAGAACAGGCGTCAGCCAAGTCCAACACCGCTGCTGTGACGCCGCCAGGGGGGGCGGCCGGCGACGCCACCAGACTTCTATGACGTCATCAGGACGAAATCTTTGGACCAATTTATAGAATGCGGCGAACACACCGGTTGGAGGTGTGTTCCAGGCACAATAACTGTGTGATTTACATCCCACGTTCGATCGAAATGTGCGACAGTGTGCCAAAGACAACGTTGAACTAAAGAGACCCTGCAACCATATTTTGCTATGGGGAGCGCAAGTTCGTCTGCTTATTTTGCGTGGTGTCGTCAGAACGCCTTTTAAATGCTCGTGGAACGGGAGTGTTTATATAAATTTTTGTTTTTCGTGAACTCACGATTTAGTTCGCACACATATGCAAGTATTTATACATATTATTTTTTTTAGAACGGGCACAAAACTTGGGAACGTGTTTTGTATGGCGGAAAAAACGACCGAATTGCCCCCTGTTCTTCGAGTGTAGTGCTGTATTGAAGTAACCAAAACATGCACCAAAATATGGGGCCGTCATTTAGAATTATACTTTTTTTCTTACATTCTTTCATCCAGCATTATTTATTCGGCAAATACATCGTTTTGTTTGAATTGTCACTTCCAAGTAAAATATACACTGCTGCAGGTCCTCTAAATTTTTCACGGCCTCGAAACTCTTTACGATTGGATACTCTGACAACAGAGGAAAAAAGAAGGGACAGCAAGCTTTTGGACTGCTGTCCAGTGGAAGATGCTCCACTAGTAGCAGAAAATGTACAACCTATAGAGAACCTTTCGGTATTTTTGCCCCAAGACATTTTGATTCAGCTAAAATCTCAATTTTAAAGCCTGTAAAGCGGAAGTTGTCGATAAAAGACTGATAATAGACTAGACATTTTCACTTACGTTTGTTCCGCACTACTTTAGAGATATTATAAAAACGTCCACAGATACCACCAGTGGGGTTCATTTAAATATCTCCAAATTTCGTAAAACGAAATGCGATCGATGTAAATAGATATAAATAAAAAAAACTAGTTTATGGCTGTTTTTCTGTTATTTTTTAACTTGTCATTCTACTTGGGTTGTTTCACGTGTTATTGTCTCTTCATTGCCCAGTATATATTTAACATGCTGCTGAAGCGGCCTGCAGTTTTTCTGCTTCAGCAAATTTGTTTAACAAAAAAAGACAAAAAAAAAAAACGAAATAGTATGCGTAATTTGTCAGTTCAATCAAATCATCAGCAGCGTTGATTGTGTGATATGTAAGTCTACCGTGATGCTCCTGCGACTGCGGTCACTTTCCTTCCTTTTCATGTACCAGCTGTCATTCGACCCTCTGATTGCCCTGTCAACCATGCCTTAAATGTTGCTTGAAGTTTCGCCTGCAGGTATAGGGCATGCCTCGATAAAAACTCACATAAAAATTAACCCTTCCTAGAAAAACGCACACACAAGAAAAAAGCAAATAGGAACGCCCGTGTAGACAGCTAACGTCGTCACAACCTCTGTAAGGCGAGCAGTCCGATTCAGAAAATATTTCATTCCTCCGGCGTCACCCAAACTTCTCGGGGCTAATGGGAGTTCGGGGAACCCAGGGGGCACTGACAGAGTATGCAAAAATATGAGTGCAGTATATCTTAACCGGACAACGTGCCAGTACCTCAACCTATGGGGGCGCAAAGAGGAGATGAAAGCGTGAAGCAACAAGTGACGAGACATGGAGGAATTTTGTGATAGATCAGAGACAAGAAAAATGTTAAAGGTCAAATAAAAATCGTGATTCGGCGAGCCAACTCAATTCTTCATAAAATATATTTCACTGAGTATTGGGGTAAAAACGAAACAAATGAAGTTTCAAAATTAAAAAAAGAGCTCGCACAGCACGACTGGTATGCTCACTGCAGGTAAAACACGACGACGGAAGATTGTGAGCGATGGACTGAGCTCGAGAATGCGACCGATTTGCTTCAAGATGGGCCTCTGCATAAGCTTACTCGTTCAAACACAAAGAAAATGCTCAGCTTCGCACTCCTCTTGACAATTAGGAGCTAAAACTGCGGCAGCACAGGGGCGGAGGCCTGAAGCAAGCAGGCTCAGCAACGAGCCTACGGTGAATAAGCGGCTTCGAAGACGCGGCCATAAACCTAACCTTCACTGGATTGGCCAGGCGCATCGCTCCTCTCATTGATCCACAAAATGCGTCACGCAGAGCAAATTATTTTGCTTGTTGGGATTATAAATGTGCCTGCAACTATCAAAATATAGATTATTTTTTTATAAAAAGAAATGTTTGTCTAAGTCACTACATTCCGTGGATTCAGTTCAAGCGCAAACCTCAAAACCTCAAACCCATTCAAAATGAACTTACGGACTTCATTAAGACACGAACCCGGTTCAGCCAGCGGGCGAGCACGTACCCTGAAGGACATCTCGAGGTTCTCTCCGCCCCAGCCCTCCATCTCGTCGTCGTAGAAGCCGCTCTCCCAGAAGTATTGGCGATCGATGGCAAACAGCCCTCCCGCCATGGTCGGCGTCTTGACGGGCTCCACCCTGGTCTCGCGCTTCAAATCCAAGCCCGAGGGCAGGTTGATCCACACAAACTCGCCCTTCCAATTGAAGCCCCCGAGCATGAAGTATTCTGCACCCTTGCCCTTGTATTCCAGGCTGTGCTCGTCCACAATGTCTATGATGGGGCAGACCACCGTAGTTCGTTCCTCCTGAATCGGCTGCAGGAGGGGCTCCAGCCTGTCACAAACCCGAGTGGACGCTGCAAGAGGGCGCTAAGGAAAACCATAGCCTCCCAATACGGGGGAAACCTGCCCTTTCCATCCCCGAGCAACAGGCCGTCGGGTCGCCATAAAAAAAGGCAGGAAGAAGGACGAATTAGCAAAAGAAAATCTATTTTGATAGCAGCACCCCACGGGTGTCGTCAGGCGAACTACCCTTCTTCCTTCTTAGTGCATTCTGCGGGATGACAAAAAAAAAAGTGAGTGGCTCCCTTCATACATCCTCTCTACACCTTATCCTCCTCTCCTTGTGCTCTCCGAGAAGAAATAAGCAAAGAGACACGCTTTGGGGGGAAAGTAAAGGCTCGTTCACACTCTTGCAACCGAGTACGACTGAGAGGGACAAGACCGCTTTTTAATCCTCTCACGACGTCTTAGGACCAGCTCCGCAGCAGCGCGCCCGGTCCTAAGACGTCGCAAGAGGATTAAAAACCGGTCTTGTCTCTCTCGGTCGTTCTCGGTTGCAAGAGTGTGAACGGGCCTTAAGATGCACCAACACCACATAGAGGAAAGGCCGCAGCGCTTGCAGGCAAGACGTCACTAACGTCAGAAGGAGGATGCCATTCTGCAATTCGGGCTTCTCTTCTTTTCTCTTTGATTCCGGACAGTCGGCTATTCGAACGTCGTAGTAGCCGTAGGGCCGTATTCAAAATATTAAGAAATATAATTCAAATTCACCCCTTTGTATAAGTTAGTGGTTTTAAATTAAAAAATAATATATATATATAAATATATATACAGGGTGTTTTTTTTTATTCTTAATCACATTTGTTTAAAAAAAAAAACGTGAAACCTACACTAATGCGGTTTGTGCAGGCGAGTTATACGGCCAGGTGGACATTATGCGGGTGGCTAATCTTTGCGATAAATTGGCTAATTAATTAAAATTCGTTAATTAACTTTTTAATTACTGAAAATAAATACTGAAAATTAGAAACTTGCTGAAAATACTGAAAATTAGAAAGTTGCTAAGCATCATCGAAAACCCCTAAATCAACTGTTTTTAGCAGGATATAACGCCGGGGCAGCATTTTACGGCGTTCTGTAAAAACGCTCCATTTGGACGCGTTTCTAGATTTCGGTTTCTTATGGAAGCGCATCTACGCGCCCGCGATCCTGCGCCCTGGTGGTTGCGGCGCGAAGCCACCTCGTCGCCTCTCTCGTAGAATGGAGGGAAGTACGGCGCACGTCTGTTGCGCTTCTCAGCCACTGGGGAGCAGGACCGCGGGCGCGGTGATACGCTCCGATAAGAAACCGAAATCTAGAAACGCGTCCAAATGGAACGCGTTTACAGAACGCCGTAAAATGCTTCCCCGGCGTTATATCATTCCAGAAACAGATGATTTAGTGGTTTTCGATGATGCTCTACAAGTTTGTAATTGGAACTCTATGTCTATTTCCACTGATTAAAAGTTAATTAACAAATTTTATTTAATTAGCCAATTTATTGCAAAGATTAGCCACCCACATAATGTCCGCCTGGTCGTATAACCCACCTGTACAAACCGCATTAGTGCAGCGTTCACGGATTTTTTTAAACAAATGTGTAAGAATAAAAAAAAAACACCCTGTATATATATATTGTGGGTTCCGTTTGCGCCACCGCTCAGTCACCACCAGGGTGCGCCCCATTCGTGCATCACCACAGCCGTTTATACTGAGTTAGTTTGACCGATGGGCAGAGCTTGTAGACCACTAGAGCCAGCGGATTTCGCTATAGCACAAAAAGGCCTTACTTTGTCTCGTTTATTCCTGAGAAATCGCTTAGAGTTCCTACGAGTCACTGTCACAAAATGGTGGAGGTACGTAAACATCCCCCGGTTGTCGAACTACGCTGCTGTGGTTACCAGGCTGTCAAGATCTCCCTAAGAAAGTCAGACCCTCTCAGTACAAATGGCTCAGCGCAACACAACGCACCACGTACAGGAACTACGAGGACCAAGGGCAGCCTTCGTCAGTCACACGCCGACTTCTTTGAAGTCGAGCTAAACGTCCCGTCCTTCTTACATTAAATGTAGCTTGTTGGTTTCCAAATCCTGAGTTCGTGCTATTCCTTTGAGTTGGACATGCAGCGAGGCAACATTTTCGTAATCATTAATTTATTTCTGAGGCTGAGATTGCAAGTTTGTATATTATCTACAATGAACGGAGACGAAACTACCGCCTAACGATTTAGAGGTCTCGTCACGTCGCCGCCATCGGTGTGAAGGCGAAACCGCATGGGTCTCGACTCGGAAAAATCAATCGTTCCCTTTTGGCCGTCCTTGCGTGTCTTTGTGAGATTCGAGTGTGTACAAAGAACGCCGAGACGCTACACACGAAGAGGATATCCATTGAAGGCACCGGCAAGCCCTAGCACGATCACGACAACTTCGATTATATAACTGTTATGTAACGCGATCTCGGCTTCCAAACGTGGTTTCCTCTGCAGCATTTGTGACTTGCTTCTTCCGTTAATGTGGTGTGTGCGTGTTTGTTTGCGATTTATTTTATGCTACAGCTTCCGTATACTGTTTGGTCTGTGGCTCGAGAAGCTTCCCGAAGTCTCGAGCGATGTCGAGAGGTATCACTCGCCCGTTGTTTGAGGTGGTAGTACCCAAATTAACTTATGACGGTGGCTTGGCTGCGTGGATACCATTAGAAGTTAAATACTTTTTATGCTATTTGCTTGTTCTATGGGGCGCTGCACAAGCGGAATGATGCAATTAAGATCGTATTCTTTGGGGTAGAACCAAGCGTTCGTATCTCTCCCTTTCTCTCTCGGCAGAGCTAAGGTAGTTCGTGAAAAGTTTGCTATTTTTCTCTTGATGTCTGTTGCGGTGCAAAATAGCTATTTATTTGACTAACAAAAAACATGTTGTTGGGGGATAAGTGATAAAAAAATAAAAGCGCCTATATATGTGCCTCAGTAGCAAAGCCGCGAGGTATTTCAGCGAGTGAATTGACTTTGATTAATTAAAAATATAATCATGGAAGATTGAGGTGGATATCAACTCTTTCAAATAGAATATTTTCCTTCTTTTATTAGCTGTCGTTTTTATTTCTTCCAATAAAGTATCTTTTATGTTTTATTTGGAAAGTAAGACATCATTGCTCAAAAATACGTTATCGCATTTGTTTGCCATACTTACCGTGCGCGTTTGGTTCTCTGTGCAATGCATTGTTACCATGAACTCTTCTACCATGTCGCATCACTCGGTGTCATTCAATGTTAGGAGAATTATTGTTTATCAAACATGTGGCTTTCCGAGATATTTACACCACTTTAAAAGCATCCCATTTTTTTCTAAGCATCATTGTGCAGATATTATTCTCACCCCGAGCCTTAATTTTTCTGTCCTAATAATTTGCCTGTCTACACTTTTCTAACTTAACTGCTGTGTACAGCTATCATTTAGATAATACATCAAGACTGGGTTAAAAGAAACGCGTAGCTAGAAATGTAAATCCACTCGCGATGTTTAAATTTCAGGGCTGTTCAGCAGCGGCCGATCGCTCCCCGTGCAACAAAAGCCCGTCTGTTATTTCTAAACGTCTTTCTAGTTAAAGAAACTTGTTTGTATCAATAAAACATGTTTTCTTACGACGGTGTATTCACGCGCTATGCCAGCTCTATCCGTAAATGTCCGGCCAGACTCGATCGCGTCCAGCAGGGACAAAACGGGAGGAGCTCTAGGTGGTGTTGGATGCACCGAGGGACTGAGAGACAAAATTGATTCGAAAGTTACAAAAAGTGCCACTTTTTTTTTCTTTTTTTGCAAAAATTAACTTAAGGAAAAAGGAGTGTTTCGGAAAGTCATCGCTGTGCGCCGTTCGCCTCTCAATGCCATATAGGATACTACGCCCCCTATTGGGGACGAGATGGTTTGGTGGCGCCATCTCGCGGGTGCCTTTTCTGTGACGGACCTTGTAGGATGCGAGCAGACGACGCGTTTTGTCAAAGCACGGAGTGGCTATGTAAGTTTGCATTTGCGCTGATGAAAAGCGGTCTAACTGTTAATGAAACATGTACGATGTTTGTGTGAGTGATCTTTCTAATGAGTAAACTGCGCCTCGAAGTTGCTTGCTCTTCCCGCATAGAATACGTGGCAAAGAAGTTCGTAGCATCGCGGCTGTTGCTCGAAAGAAAAGAAGAAATTTTCACGTACATTCTTAAATCGTCGGACATGGCTCGGCCAATTTAGGTGTTCAATGAATTTGTTATATAAAATATATACTAAGCAGTGTTTCCAAATTTAAAATCGCCTAATTTTAGCCGAAGCCTAATTCGCATTATGGCGAACACTAAATCGCATTATGCGAATTAGGATTCGCCAAATTAAACATACAGAGTGTAGTTTTGGGGGCGCTGAGGTGTCACCGACTTTCCAGACTAAGGACTTCGACTCCAAGGAGGTCTCGCACGTTTTGCATCAACCTGGTAAATAAGTCAGCCACCGATTCTTCCTGTCGGTTATTTTGAGGAAATAATTGTTCACTGGTTTACAACATTTAAAAAGCAATCAAGTTGAAACTAATAAAAGACATGCACTCAAAGAGCACATTGGAACCAACAGGATACACTGGGTCGCTTTCACTGATGTGCTTACTACGCACGCGAGATGTTCCCAAATTTCTCTTTCCTATTTTCACTTTGGTGAGACATACCTGGCTCAGTTTTATGTTATCCGAATCGTAATAAAAACTGCACACCGTTCGCCGTGGTAAATGTTGTTGTGGGGTAAAGCGCTGGATATTCTATTTTCATTATCCAGCATTTTGTACTGGGGTAGAGAACAGCACACCGCCATCCGAGCTCTTCGGCACCTCAGAGCCAAAAGTGTTTGTTAGCAGGACTATTCGTGCCACGATTTCCAGTTTTGGTAGAATGCCCCACTACAAATATCACTTCACAAAATAAACACAATGCGTCAAACAACCTTTGCCGCGCGTTACTGAAACAGCGCATAAAGCGAGCTG